ATGCCTAGCCAAAAATATGTGGTATAAAAATGCTTCAACTCTTGGTTTCTTCTGCTTCAAGACTCGCATTTTAATTATATTATCGGTAAAGGACAAGAAATAAAGCTTTCCATTTACTTTTTGTGAGAACCTGGATCCCACATGCAAACCTGCGCTAAACACACAGATATAAAATAAATGTAGATACTTAAGAACCTAATAAAATATTCCAGAGAATATAAAAAAGAATCAGCACTCATAATTAGGGGACATAGGCACATCTTTGTAGACAGAAATATCAAAGAGATGGCTAAAGAATGACTGTGGGATACAAAAGAGCGACGAGAAGGAAAATGATCAATCGCTATAAAAATTAGTCCTGTAAACAAGTAATGAAAAGGTGGACTATAAAAGCCCGTCGATTCATATCAGTGAGGACTATAGGCAAGAGAAATAGAAACTGCTCTCCAAACAAAGGGCAGGGAGTCTAACATGGTAGAAGTTCTTTTATTGAGAGTGGAATATTAATACAGAGAGCAAAGACTAATGAGCTGCTACATTCTGGTGATAACATGAGGACAAAAATGTGTCAATTTCAAAGGTCTTAATTTTCACCAGCTATAGGAAGTGATGGAACCAAAGTTCTGGATTCTTAAATTTGAAAACATGTGTGTTTATGTGTGTGTGTGTGTGTGTGTGTGTGTGTTTGTGTGCATGTAGGTGTGGTTTCTTCTATGATGCCCTTTCTTTTCCTTACTAATTGTTTCTTTATTTAGGTAAATTTCTGGATAAATCTAAATGAACTTCTCTACAAATTTAATCCCTCCAATGTAATTTTTTTTTGGAGAGACAAGGGGTGTAGTAACTTGTGATTTTGAAACTCCTTGCGTTTATGAATGTTAAGGAATATATATGCTAAAATAGGTTCATGAAAAATGTGGAAAATGAGCTGATATAATACATATGCCAATTGTAAAATTCAATTTTTAAAAAAGATGGTTAGGTTGATTTTTATTTACAGTTAGTTCTTCATGGGCAGAAGTTCCTAGAATGGATGTCATGGAACCACAGGAGAGAGTGAAGTAAGCAACTAAGCCTGCATATATTTGTATGCCGTTTATCTCTAGCTCTGTTCTACTTACCCCATTTTATAATTATTTAAAGTAGTTTACTCATGAGAAATGAAGGAATAATTGTATCTACTGCACTATCTTATGGAAAGGATTAAATGAGGCCTAAAATGAAAATGTTCATGTTTCCCAAATAATAAGCACTTGATAAATACGAGTCATTTTAATAATTAAGAAATTAGACTCTTTATATTTTTGTTATGGTATTGTTAAATGTTTCTGTGAGGGTTTCAATGTAACTCTCAGGGTCAAATAATAGCTAAAGCCTCATCAAAAGCAAGCTAAATGCTTACCTCAATTTTTATGCATTCCATAGTAAGCAATACAGTAACTTCTATACCACAGGTGAGAAAACTCAAGTGTTTATACACACTAAACAACTTATGTAACACCATATAATCAGGATAGAGGGGCAATCAAGTTTTAAGCTGAAACTTGCTTTTATAGTATATATTCATTGTATCTGGTACTATGTTGTGTAAGGGCATGTTTTATACAAATATATATTGCATATTGATCAGATTTCCCCCAAGCCCCATCTCTTTTCCTTTCTAAACTTTTCCTTGTTCCATTAGTCCTTTTTTTCCCCCTATACAGTTTCACTTCTCCTTCCAAGTCACAGACACAATTGCAATTTTATGTACTGACATAAAATCTAGGAAGCTCAAGTCAGAGAGTATATTTGTCTTTCTGAGACTAGCTTAATTTGCTTAATATGATTATCATCAGTTGAATCTCTCTTTTTTTTTTTGAGACAGTATTTATCTGTGTATCAGCCCTGGCTATCCTGTAACTTGCTCTGTAAACCAGGCTGGCCTTGAACTCAGAGATCCACCTGATTCTGCCTCCTGAATGCTGGGATTCAAGGTGTGTGCCACCACTGCTGGGAGAGGACATTATTTTTTTTTTCTTTTTGACTGAAAAAAAAAACCCCATATAGATACACATGAACACAATCACATTTTCTTTATCCATTCCTTTGTGGTTGGACATCTAGGTTGAAGGTTCTATAGTCTAGTTCTTGTCAACAGTGCTGCAAGAAACACTGATGCAATGCCTATCTCTGAGATGTGCACTCGGGGGCCCTTTGGGTAAATACACAGGAGTGATAGAACTAGCTTGTATGGAAGATCCATTTTGTTTGATTTTTGAGAAACCCCCATAATGATTTTCAGAGTGGCTGGACTACTTGCTCCCCCCCGCCCCCAGTCTCTGTGTCGTTCCTCACTTAGATCCTTGCCCACATTTGCTGTTACTTATTTTTTTTTTAATTGAGAAAAGGAAAAAAATAAGTTTCCGCCTCCTCCCAGCCTCCCTTTTCCCTCCCCCTCTCCCACCCTTCTCCTCCTCCTCCCACCCTTCTCCCCCACCCCCTACTCTTCTCCCCCTCCCTCTCCGGTCCAAAGAGCAGTCAGGGTTCCCTCCCCTGTGGAAAGTCCAAGGTCCTCCCCCCTCCGTCCATATCTAGGAAGGTGAACATCCAAACTGGCTAGGCTCCCACAAAGCCAGCACATTAAGTAGGATCAAAACCCCGTGCCATTGTCCTTGGCTTCTCATCAGCCCTCATTGTTCGCCATGTTCAGAGAGTCCGGTTTTATCCCATGCTTTTTCAGTCACAGTCCAGCTGGCCTTGGTGAGCTCCCAAAAGATCAGCCCCACTGTCTCAGTGGGTGGGTGTGGAGGTAACCCAGACCCAAAGAGATGAACATGGGATGTACTCACTCATAATTGGTTTCTAGCCATAAATAAGGGTCAAGGAGTCTATAATTGGTGAACCTAAAGAAGCTAAGTAAGAAGGTGAACCCAAGGAAAAACATATTGTTACTTATTTTTTAATGAACTGAAATTCTGCCTGGGGTGCGACTGAGCTTGAATGTCATTTTCATTTCTTTAATGGCCAGTGTGGTGGAAGACTTTTTCGTATGTTTGTCGGACACATGTACGTCACCCTCTGCACACCGTTCTCTTCATTAGCCCATTTTAAGACTGAATTATTTGACTTCTTGTTTACTTGGGATTTTAGCTCTTTGCATGTTCTAGATATTAATCCTATACCAGAAATCACTGAAGATCCAGCTGGAGCCTCTTTTCTTCTCTCAAGGAAGGAAAATCGCATTCAGAAAGGCACAGTTGCTCCCCAAAGTCAGAAAGCTCAACAGTAGGTTCATTCTCTTCTTACTTAGCTTTTAGTTCGTCAGCTCTGCTAAAAACTAAACTTTGGAAGTCAGTGTGTGATGGAACAACTCAAACTTAGAGTCACCTTTAGAATCACAGATCTGTTTTTTTTAATGAATTGGTGATTTAACACTCACACCTGTAGTTTTCCTAAGAATAACCGTGCAGGTGGCACTTATACCCCATCCCCATGCATCTTCACAGACTTGAAATACTTGCAGTGACATCTCTTAGACATCTGTTCCACATTTGTTAGATCTTCCTGAAGATTTGCGATTTGAATTCATTTGGTTTGACTATTTCTCTTTAGTTTTTTAGGAAAAAATTCTTAAAGGATGTCATAAACAACAACAACAACAAAAAATACCAAGACCCTTTCCTCATACTAGAAAGACAGGACAAAGAACGTTAGCTACAAAGTCACACTGTGGCTATAACCCTGGAACTTAAAGGCTAAGGGGTACAAAGAAAAAGTAAGGCTTAACCCTTGGGCTTTGAGGAACCCTTGCAAAAGAATTTTCAAAGCACATGCCTCCCCTGCTCCATTAGGATGCGACAGGGATAAAGACAGTAAGCCAAAGTGAAAACTCTCTTAGTCTTGACAAAAGGGTTCAAAATCCAAATTACACCCTTTCTTGGCCTTAAAAGATCAATTTGCCATGACCATTTTCAGATAGGATGGAATTACTTCTAAATCGGAGATATGAATTCCAAAATCCAATCAAAACTCTTGCACTCAGATGTTCCAGATACATTTTTTATAAGTTCCAAATCCATTTTTCATAAGGTCTAAGAATGAAAAAAAAATCTGCCATTTGTAGAATGTCTCCATTCTAAAAATATATTCTGGTATGCGGGACTTTTCACCTGCTATATAAAAAATATATATTTTTTTCTTGCAAAAAAAATCTGGATTAGTTCTTTATAATAGCACAAAACTCTGCAAGTTAAAAGCTATTAATATGAAATAAATTATTCATAATAAAAAGAAGTATATTGTACTGTGTGATTGTGTACATGCCTCGATGGTGTCTTTCCTTTTCAACTGTGTTGCTTTTAAGTAAAGAACTGTGGGAATAATAAAACATGATTCCCACTAAAATAATACAGAAGTAGAGTTGGAGAGATGAGGTTAGTTGAAATTTCAAAATAGACAAAGAGTGGATTGTGGTAAGCTGTTTTAGAAAAATCAAAATTAGTCTGCAGAAGAAAATATTTATAAGATATTCATTAAGAAGGGTTAGTTATCATGAACATGGTAAGAACTCAGCAGAAAAGTCTAGTAAGTCAGCTAAAATGAGTAAATTATATCAATCGACGTTTCTTAGAACAAGACAGACAGAAATTATAGGGAAAATGTGCAAAACAGAGACTCATCAAGAAAATGCAAATCAAAACCACAATGAGATATTGTATCAACCCTACCTAGTTGGGGTGGCTACTATCAAAAAGTAGGAGCCCAGAAGCTGGCTAATTCAGCCAAGCACTTGCTTCAAAAGCACGAGGGCTTGAGTTGAGATTCCTAACAACCATACGAGAATCCAGGTGGGCTGGCACATATCTTCAGCCCAGAGATGTGTGGGAAGAAAGCGATAGAGAGCCATGGGACTCAATGGTCATTCCATATAGCCAAACCTCTGAGTTCCAGGTTCAGTGAGAAATCCTGCCTTAAAAAGTGAGGTCGAAAAAAAAAAAAAAAAAAAAAGTGAGGTCGAGATGACGCCGAAAGCGGAGAAGAAAGCTCCTGCCCCTACCAAAGCCGAAGCTAAAGCGAAGGCCTTGAAATTCAAGAAGGCAGTGCTGAAAGGCGTCCACAGCCACAAAAAGAAGAAGATCCGCACATCGCCCACCGTTCGGCTACGAAGGCAGCCTAAATACCCCCGGAAGAGCGCGCCCAGGAGGAACAAGCTTGACCACTATGCTATCATCAAATTCCCCCTGACCACCGAGTCAGCCATGAAGAAGATAGAAGACAACAACACACTTGTGTTCATTGTGGACGTCAAGGCCAACAAGCACCAGATCAAACAGGCTGTGAAGAAACTCTATTACATCGATGTGGTCAAAGTCAACACCCTCATAAGGCCCGACGGAGAGAAGAAGGCGTATGTTCGGTTGGCTCCTGATTATGATGCTCTGGATGTTGCCAACAAGATTGGAATCATCTAAACTGAGCCCAGCCGGCTAATTCTAAATATACACTTTTTCACCATTAAAAAAAAAAGTGAGGTAGAGGACAAACAAAAAACCCCTTGACACATACACATGCACATACCACACACCCACATGTCACCACCATTCACACAAGTGAGTATAAAGTCAAAAAGTAAATGCTGGGCAAGGATGTATATTATGGGAAACTTTTGAATACTGTGTTTGGGACAATGAAGTAGTACAATCACTATGAATAAAAAGGAGTGAGGCTTCTCAAAAGGCTACAATACTCTCTGTTATTATTTTTAAAGCTACAATTAAATGTTGTCAATAACCATACATATCATACTGTGTCATCTAGCATTACACATTACCATTCCTATTCCTGTACTTTGGTACCTATTAGCCCCTGTTTCGTTACTTTTTTCCTTCCATAGTTCCTACCTTCATAGTTTCTTGAAAACACTATCCTATTTTCTTCTTCTATAAGATCAACTTGTTTTAACTTCTTGTGTAGGTAAGAATGTGCAGTGTCTGCTTTTCTGTGTCTGGCTTATTCCACCTAACATGATCTTTCTCATAACCTTTCCCACGCATGTTAATATAAATAATAGGATTTCATTCACTTCATGGCTGAGAAATGGTCCATCATGCATATGTGCTCATTTTCTTTTCGCACTCATCCATCAGCGGATGTCCATGTTGGCTCCGTGTCTCAGCTGCTGCGAAAAGAGGGGCAGTAAACAGTGCAGAAGTCTCTAAGATGTTGATTCCTTTTCTTGCGGATATAGATCCAATAGCTGGATCTCAGGATGGAGATGATTCTCTGATGTTCCCAAACCAGCAGCTCACGACCTCCCTGCCTTCCCACTGTTATGCTCAATGACTTTTAAAAGCTATTTTGAGTGTAGTTCCTGGGCTCTGTCCAATACATTTATTTGAATTCGTCACTGGTATATTGCCACTTGAATGAGCTTACACAGTTATATAAAACCAGCCAGATGGAAGCTGCTTGAGGTTTGAGATACCTTGCACTGTGAGGGGGTGAGGGAAAAAAATTAAAAACACAAAAGCAATTATAAACAAAATCATGCTTACAAGAGGAAAATATTTTTCTTGTATGCAATTAGCAGAACACTCCAAAGGGATTTATGGAGAACACAAATGTTAAGTAAAATTTTAATAAGGCCAGCTTAGATGATCTTTTAAGGAAGAAAACCAATAATATTTATGTTCATTGTCTCCAGAAATCAGTATAAACTCATGACTAACAGGCTGGTTATATGGTTTAACATAATTGTTCTGTATTGCATGAGTTGAGGAAACATGAAGCTGACATTCACTAATTATTCATCTGGAAGGAAAACAGATCTCATTTCTTAGTTGTCCACTGCTTAGAATATGATAACTTGAAGCTTCAAGAGAAATCTGGTAGGAAGTACTTGCGGAATCATTTAACCTTTTTGAGATATCCACAGTTACTGTGATGGACACCACAAAATTATTTCCCTTTTTATCAAAGGTTTTTTTTTTCCACTTTTTTTTTTCTAGCCCTGGGAATGGTAATAAATAAACGACAGTTCCAATAGTTCCAATCTCTACCGAAAGAAAGAGAGTCCCAAACAATGAAGGACTCTAACTCAGGTTTCCCACTCTCTTGATACACAGTAAGCAAACAATGCAGAGGAGCAATTCATGTGCAGAAGGCAGAAGTAAAATGCAGACCGAAGGATCAGCCTTGGCATGAGGAAATGGGAAGAGGAAGTCTTAATGTCTACAATGGAGTCACTGAATTTTAAGTTAAAAAACAAGTCAAATCAGGGGATATTAGAAAATTTCTTGCAAGAAAACTCCAGTAGAAATACTTAGAAGATGAATGAGAAGATCCTTGCTCATAAAGAAAACTATGTTTCCAGCTGAGAGGGCAGAGCTAGTTGAATTAAGAAAGAAGATAAACTAACCCTGAAAGAAGATATAATAACACTGCTGTAACAGCAAAACATACTCCAAGGACAAAAATTCTAGAAGACAAAATACACCAGTACCTCGTGGGCCATAGGATTGCATTTAAAGTATGTCAGCCTACAAGGTGAAGATTTTTAAAGAAGCAGTTCCAACTCCTACGTTTTTTTAAGTGGGCATTAATGGAAACCCAAGACCTACCTAAAGAATAAACACATAAAGTTTTTCTAGAAGTCCAATCACTGAATAATAAATGACTTGGTAAGATGGAGCCAACATGCAATCATGACCACTTTTTATTTTTAAAAAGGTTTATATTTTATTCATAATTACAGGTCTATGGGTAACGAGTGTACATGCCGAGGAGGCAAGAAGAGGGTGAGAGATCCTCTGCAATTGGTCATACATGTGGTAATAAGTGCTTGAGATAGGTGCTGGGATTGAAACTGAGGTCCTCTGTGAGAGCAGTATGCGCTTTTAACTGTTGAGCTTCTCTGCTATCTCCAAACGTGGGTATTTTAAGATCAGTTCTATATAGTGTCATTTGATGTCTTTAGCCTATGTTGACAGTAAACAGTGGATACTATGATTTTCCATAATTTATTAAGTTTGTCATGTGCAAGTATGTTTGTTTGCATGTATGTGTACATATATGTGGGTATACATACATATGTGGAGGGTCCATGTGGAGGCCAGAGTTCAGCCTTGTTGCGGTTCCACAGGACTTGTCCTCCTTACTTTTTAAGAGAAGAGTTCTCCATCCATCACCAGATGAAGGTTCTATGATAGAGACAGAGACCCACACTGGAGCACTGGACTGAGCTCCCAAGGTCCCAATGAGGAGCAGAAGGAGGGAGAACATGAGCAAAGAAGTCTGGACCACGAGGGTGCACCCACCCATCGAGACAGTGGAGCTGATCTACTGGGAGCTCACCAAGGCCAGCTGGACTGTGACTGAAAAAGCATGGGTTAAAACTGGACTCTCTGAACATGGCGAACAATGAGGGCTGATGAGAAGCCAAGGACAATGGCACGGGGTTTTGATCCTACTTAATGTGCTGGCTTTGTGGGAGCCTAGCCAGTTTGGATGTTCACCTTCCTAGATATGGACAGAGGGGGGAGGACCTAGGACTTACCACAGGGCAGGGAACCCTGACTGCTCTTTGGACTGGAGAGGGAGGGGGAGAGGAGTGGTGGGAGGAGGAGAAGGGTGTGAGGAGGGGGAGGGAAATGGGAGGCTGGGAGGAGGCGGAAACTTGTTTTTTTTTTTTCTTCCTTTTCTCAATAAAAAAAAAAAAACCTGATTCTTACCACTTAGGCCAGGCATGCTGGCCATGAGCCCCGGATATCCACCTATCTCCACCTCCATCGGGTTGGTGTTACAGGTGGGAATTATTTACAACAGGATTTCCTAGAAAACCGATCTGGAGAATTTGAAATGCCAAGTTATAGGTGAAGACTAAACAAAGAGGTATTTATTTGCCTTTTAATATTCCTCCATCATTTGCCATTTAAATAAGTTACTCTTCATAGGCATGGGAGGTTGACTTCTGGGAAGCACAATAATCCAAGATTCACAGACTCTAAAGATACTGTCTTGGTATCAGGAGTACATGCTCCCAAAGCAGCTACAGACCAGGATGGCATTGCATGGCGGTGTGACCCCGCTCTGGGATCCCCTTCTTTGGGAGGTAATATTTCGATTTTTAAATGGTGAATATGTGACACAATTTTATCTCAGACAAAATGAACTTCTGAGACGAAAACTCAGAGACATGCTCAACCTTTACAACGTACAGAAATATATTACTTTTCTAATTACCAGGCCTTTCCAGCTGATTCTAAAATACTCAGAACTGGGCATCTTAAGAAAGAGGAACCTTGTGGAACAGGGGGAGGAAGGACTGTAGGAGGCAGAGGGGTCGAGGACACCAAAAGAACTCAGCTCACCGAATCCTCTAAGTAGGGTTCATAGAGGCTCACAGAGACCGAAGTGGCAACCATGAAGCCTGCAAGGGTCTATGGTAGGCCCTCTTCATTCATACTGTGGCTGTTTAGCTTGGGGTGTTTGTGAGACCGCTAATATTGGGAGTAGGGGTGTCTCTGACTCTTTTGCCTTCTCAGAGGATCCTATTCCTTCTACTGGGATGCCTTATCCATACTTGACATGAGGGTTTGTGCCTAGTCTTATTGCAACTGTTCAGTTGATATCCCTGGAAGGCCTGCTCTATTCTGAAGGGAAATAGAGGAGCAATGAATTTGGGACAAGGGAGGTGTGTGTTGGGGCTGGGTGGAGTGGAGGGATGGGAAACTGTGGTTGGGATGTATTGTATGAGAGAAGAAACAAACAAACAAACAAACAGAGGTGGATGATCTAAAGGACCACTCAGGTACAACTTACATTTTTACTTCTGTACTTCTATGCCTTGACAGAATTGTTTAACTAGAAAAAAAAAAGAGCTAAAATGAGTTCTAAAAATCTGTCTAATTTTGATCAGTTTAGGAACTGTGAATTTTGGACATTGTGTGTGATAATTTTAGGGTGATTTATTTATTTTTTTAAGTTGTGTCTCCAGAAGAGACACATTTAAGTTGACCATCTGGTAATGACATCAGACGAAAGTTATCCGAATGCCCACGTTCATCCACCTGCATTCTAATCTCTCTACAGAGGTATGGCTAGCTGATGGCCACACAGCTGGAGAAGGGTGATACCAACTCAATACCAAGCTTCTCATGCTAGCTAGTACCTCCACTCATTTAATACATCACTCAATTCAGTCTCTGAAAGTTTCAACGACCTATGTTACCTCATTAGTAAAAGTATACAGTCACGCTGGGGGGGTTCTATCCTTGCCACATTCATAATTGGCCGTATAGTCAGATTACTAGGATGATAACCATACAATAATTTTGTTTTTCATTTCAAAGACAAGAAAAACATGAGTGAATTTTAAGCTGATACCAGTTTCCCTGTGAGTTTTTTCTTTACTATATGCAATAAAATACTGACAAGGGTTAGCATGACTAATTTTCTCTTCCTGTTTATATTT